ATATATATATATATATATATATATATATATATATATATATATATATATATATATATATATATATGTATATATCTCGAGATATATCCTTTTCCGCTCGGATTCTTCAAAGCGCGTAGTGACGGGTTTCATATGTGCTCTTCTCTATAATTAGGCGTAATTTCACGGTCGATGGAGTTGGTAAAACAGCTTCGCTGGGGTTTTCTGGAAATCGCACTATCGATCTCAATCGCTTAACGAACCGCGTGAAATTTATCGTTACAAAGTTAAATATTCAATAGCCGAGTTATAAGAGCTACACTTTCATCGTGTGTCCCCTTCGTCAACATCACGCGATACTCTCAATTTGATCATCATCAGCGTTCCCCGGTATTTTTCTTTTTTCCGTGGATATAATTCATTATCTCCACGACGCGGCGTTAACAAGTCTTTTGCCCTCTGACCGGCTGGTATATGGATCGTTATGTAGCAATAGCTGTCAGTCACGCGTCTCGTTTAAGAAAATTGGATTCGTCAGTGCCGCCTAATTAATTTAAATTCTTCAAGATTTGCAACACGTAGGAATAATCATATCATTTAATTGTACAAGATTTTTTTGCTTGTTACTTGTAGAGCTTAATTGTTCTCCATTAATGAAAAAGGCTCCATTAATGAAAGAGATAAATCACATATAATTTAATTAACCGTTTGTATACTTCAATAACGAAGCTCTGATGTTAATAAATTTTCTTAACTTCGAAAATTTGCGATGAGAAACTTCGTGCAATTTGATAAATCTCTCATGATGAAAGGATATATGTGGTGCAATAACGACTTGATGTCATCTTCATTTGTTATTCCGAGAGCATGAGCGTTTTCCTACCCATAATTGCATTGAAACATCACTTTGTAGCCGCTGGTAATCGATCTGGCTTAATGCGCGTCACGTCTGTTTTGCCGTAATCGATTTGCGACTTTTGAAATCTCTCTAAAGACAAAATGCGCAACTTCCGCCGTTGTTAGCCGTTTCATCCTAGTCACCTCAGACCCAACTGGTCGGGCGTGTATCACATATCATATTCATGAGTTCTCTCAGCCTGTAATTAAGTTAGAATTTTACAGTCGATTGAGCAATCGAAAGTTTTTCTCGAGTTTTTGTCGACCTTCGGGAGAACGCGTCGGGATATCGATAATCAGTATCAGCCACGATTTATGACCGGAAAGTCTGTATGTGTATGCACGTATGCATGATTTGATTGAGCAGTTGTTCATGTATACTCGTGCATCTAATATACACATTGTTCACAGTGACGTAATCTGTGCTCAGATAAAGCTGTACTCATTAATTCGTCCCAATAGAGTTACAAATAATATCCATTTTTCTCTTGCAACGTTATCAGTCTTAATGCGAGAGAAATGCTTAACGCTAGCTTGTGAGAAGAAATGTTAAAAGAATACGGAATTTACAGTTTTTCACTTCAAACGTTCGAACAATACGCATCGATACAATACGCTGGACTCTAATTTTGACTTATTACGTCACGACATTCTTGTTAGAATAAATGTTACGTAGAGTCGCTTTCACTCAGGTGGAAATAAGAGCGTTCGATGCTTACGAGAGCTTCGCAATTAAGTTAGAGCTTCGCGTCTGTCTCGCCGGCGTGTACGGTGTGGAAGCGGTCGAAGCTTTCGTGCGCTTATTAACATCAAATTACGACCACCAAGGGTGTGATTATAACACGGTTCTTCTTCGCGTGGCTCGAACGAACGAGCGTGCGGGGAACAGGTTGATTATAAGCAGTCATCGATCGGGAAGCACATTTTTCATCGGCACCGCCGCTCTCTCGACCTGCGCTCCTCCCGTTTATCCTTACGGATGCGCGTGTTCCGACCGGCATGAAATCAGGATATGGCGGAGCAGGCATAACGAACAGGAAGTATCTTAATATAAAGGAAAAAGAGAGACGCATATCGCTGCGGCAATACCATACAAAATATTAGTTTCATTCGTCTTAAAGTTATATCGACAATCGAGACAAATTGCCGAAATTCATCCATCAAAATCGGATAAATATCTTCCTGCACTGAGAAGAAACAATGAAAAATTTACTTGTGGAATATAAAGTTGATTTTAAAGTTGAAATAAAGTGTATATATATATATATATATATATATATATATATATATATATATATATTTCTGTGAAAATGAATTTTACATTTCATAAATAAATTTTCTAGCTATTTTTTCAATGCATAAACTCATTCGGTAAATATAATATTATTTCATTTTAAAACGTATAATGCTAATTAGCTGATCACTTTCAGATCTTTGATAGCACACGGAAAAAAAGATTTGGTTGAATTAACTAAATATCTGATTGAATATTAACGATCCAAAAATTCCGATTGAAGTAACCCAAATTCTGTTTAAGTTAACAAGATTTTTGGTTGAACTTAAACAGACTTCGGTTTACTTCAATCGGAATTTCTGGATCGTTCATATTCGACCAGATATTTGGTTAATTCAACCAAACTGTTTTTCCGTGCAGTATTTTATTTGGATGTAGTATTAAATTATATATTTTATATAATTTGTGACTTCCTTCGTTATCATGATATTTCCTTATTTTTTCCTTATTCTGCGCTTGGACGTAACGTGAACGTCTTCATCGTCTCGACCGACGATAGCGGGAGCATCGCACGTAAGCTTTAACGTGCTTAAAACGACAGTTTTACTTACCGCGCCGTACAGCAGACCGCAGACGTCCATGCAAAGGTAAAGGCAGGTCGCCATGCTTCGAATCCTCAGTTGGCCTCTCGACACCGATATCCTTTGAAAAATGGCTGAAAAGGACACAACCGTGAATTAGCGTCTGTTATAAGAAATGCCGTGTTCTCGTGAAATTTGCCGCGAATATTATCATTTAATGACACGTATTTCGTCTACGAATGTGAGGAATCGAACAGAATGGTGTCTTGGACGAAGGAGGAACAGGTTCTTCGAATGTTTTAATTTGTGACCGACCTTGCACGCTTATATCGGCGCTCCTTTTTCCCCCTCCCCTAATGATTCAATCTTGGGCGCGATGATACGTATTCTCAGCCGACTCGTAATTCATGGCACTTATCTCGAGCGTCAATGTCCATCGGGGGGTACTACAACTCTGTGGGCTGGCTTTGATAAATGAAGCCGCGGCGCGAAATTGCAACGCGACGTTGCGGTGGCATGCAACATCGGCGAATAGGCATTTATACTATCGATAACGCTCGCCGTCGATCGAATCGGCTTACACTAAAGCCTGTTTTTAGCGTCCATTTGGCGCGACGTCGCGTTGCGCCCGCCGACGATCGGTCTCACCGTGAATGGATATTCCTCGCGTAATACACCAGAAGAGAAAAAGAGAGACGCGAGAGACGGGTAAGTGAAAGGACTTATCGGAAATCATGATCGATTCTTTTAATCATCCTAGAGACGCTTTTCTTGGGAGGCAAGCGCAGCTGCGGCAACGAGCGCGTTATTCGTCTCGCCTAGCCCTCTCAGAACGCCAGGCCAGCCACGTTGGCTGTATAGCGCGCTCTTGCACGCAGTGTAATCATCTTAATTCTTCAAAGCTGTAGATACGCAGGGCGCACATTAGAGACGTGCGTGACATAGTCTGGCATAGTGGAAGCGTACGCGTAATCGTACTTGAATGCGCGCGAATCACAAAATGAAATAAGTTTTCGAGTCGATCATTTTTCATTCGCGCCCGGGGCTCTCTTCGGATCAAATAGTATGTATGCAGAGAGAATTTTATAACAAAAATTATCATAAGATTTTGTAGCGGAGGAATAAATCGACATTGTAGAATGATTCATCTTTCATTTTTACACTGAGGAAAAAGCAGTTGGATCGTAGTTGTATCTGTTGAACAAATTACGCGTTAGTGCAAGAATAAGTTGCGTTGATATAGTTACTGTGCTCAAATCGCAATCATTGAATCAATTGATGTAACTCATCGTAGCAACGATATAATTCGTTCAGTTCGACTAAACGTTTGCTTGAACGAATTGTGTCCGTTCAAGCAAAGTTTCTTTAACTCAATCACTTTTTTCTCAGTGTATGTGCTACTGATATTTTACGAACTGAAATTTATATGTATAAAATAGAATGTATATTTGTCTGTCTAATTTTGCCTAATTATTCTTCAGGACTGTGCGGAAAATATCATGAGATCTAAATACCCCTTCCCTCTGATTTTATCCCTTTTAGCTTCGTCACCCAGAAAACTGCTAATATCCTATAAAACTTTCTATGTTTCTAGCGAAATCTGCTTCAGAAAAACAAATTTCACTGAATAAATCAAATATCGGGTGAAATATGAACGAGTCAAAATTCCAACTAAAGTTACTAGAATTCTCTGTTAACAAGATTCTGATTAATCAAATAAGATTCCTGGTTAACCGAAACTTGCAACTGATTAAGTTCTATGTAATTAGAAATTTTATTAACTTGAATAGAATTCTAGCCGAAAATTTTGGCTCGTTCAAGTTTCATCAGACGTTTGGTCGGTCCAACTAAATTTTTTTCTCATGTACTATGTTTCTAGCGAAGTTGATTATATTTCTTAACAAAATAAGCTTCACTGACTGTCTGTTTCTGAGCTACTAAAAACATAGTAAAACTGAAGAGAATTTATATGAAAAAGGAAAAAAAATCTATAATATTCTCTTCGTGCGCACAGTGTGCAGGTCTCGAGAGGCCGCAACTCACTCTGCCCGGGTGTACGTGCCTGTGTACGCACGTGTAATCACTTTAATTCCTCAATAGTTCCTCCCCCCTCCCTCCCCCGGCTCGGACGCGGCCGTGTACGCGGTGCGCATTAAAGACGTGCGTGACAGTGTTGCGTCGCGCAAAACTGCGGGAACATGGCGCGATTGCATCCTCATCTGGACGCGAGCCGGAAGATTTCGCGCGACCGTTAAATACAGGATGCTCAGCGCGGTATAATACGAGGGTGGTCTGAAAAGTTTCCGACCTAACAAAGATACAAGTCATTTTTTCTGAAAATTGTTTTTTATTTTTCAACATAGTCTCCTTGTAAATCTACACACTTCTCCCAGCGATGCTCCCATCTCTGTAACCCGTCGAAATAGTACTCGGCGTTTTTCTCTGCAAAATAATTGTTCACGAAGGTGATTGCCTCTTCATTTGACGAAAATCTCTGTCCTCCGAGCGCAATTTTTAGATGAGGGAACAAAAAGAAGTCGCTTGGGGCTAGATCTGGTGAGTAAGGTGGATGGTCAAGCAGTTCAAACCGTAATTCGTGG